AAAACACGTGCCCTGCTTATGTTACTTTAATGTAAGTTCTTGGTAAACAACTTAGGAACTACCTTTTCATTTTTTTAAAACCCATTGTAACTGCTGCTAATTGGAGTGTATATTCAGGGCAATTTGAATCTTTGCTTCTCAGGGGTCATCCTCAAGCTTTGGGCTCAAATAAACTTATACTTAATCATAAAGAAAAACCATGGCTGGGTGTGGTGGCTCACACCTGTAATCTGGGCACTTTGGGAGGCTGAGGCAGGTGGACCACCTGAGGTCAGGAGTCTGAGACCAGCCTGGCCAACATGGCGAAACTCTGTCTCTGCTAAAAATATAAAAATTAGCCGGGTGTGGTGATATGGGCCTGTAATCCCAGCTACTTGGGAGTAATCACTTGAACCTTGGAGGCAGAGGTTGCAGTGAGCTGAGATCGTGCCATTGCAATCCCGAATAGGCAATAAGAGCAAAACTCTGTCTCAAAAAAAAAAAAAAAAAGAAAAAACAAACCCATTTTTAATATTGTAGTGATATTTCTACTTTCTGGGGAAAAAAATAACAAACAACAAACTGCCAGGTCCCTACAGTGAGTACAGGTGCCAAGGCTGACGGATGAATACACCCTGCAAGACTCTCTCGAGGCCGCATGTGGGCAGGAGCCAGTGCTGGCAGACAGTCTATGCACATATCCTTAGACGGCGACCCAGGCTAAAGGTTTGTGGCAGAGTCCTACGTATAGCACAGCAATCCTACGTATAGAACAGCAATCCAACAGACATCTGTGAGTTTGTAAATTTAGGAAGCCAGCAGCAGTGGCTGAGGCCCAGGAGACCACTGACCTGGCTTGTGTTTCTGCATTTAGGGCATCATATCATCCATGAAATAACTTTCAGCCTATTTGATGGTGGAATTTGTGTAAGATTTCTCTTTTTATCCTCCAAAAGGCCAAGCTCATTGCCTGGAACATATATAGTAAAACACTGCTAAATACATAAATGAATGGCAATCGTTTGCCTTTTGAGAAACAGACTCAGGCTTCTATTTCGGAGGATTATGGAGCCAGAGAGCCCCGAAGATTGCAGAAGCATGTGAATCTGAATCGCTTCCCAGTGAGATGTATCCAAAGGCTAAGAAGGGAACACGACCCATGAGGCATGCTGACATCAAGAGGTTCACCAACAATCTTTTTTTTTGAGATGGAGTCTCGCTCTGTCGCCAGGCTGGAGTGCAGTGGCGTAATTTTAGCTCACTGCAATCGCAGCCTCCCGGGTTCAAGAGATTCTCTTGCTTCAGTCTCCCAAGTAGCTGGGACTACAGGTGCCTGCCACCATGACTGGCTGATTTTTGTATTTTTAGTAGAAATGGGGTTTCACGATGTTGGCCAGGATGGTCTTGATCTCTTGTTCTGCCTGCCCCGGCCTCCCAAAAGTGCTGGGATTACAGGCATGAGCCATTGTGCCTGGCCCACCAGCAATCTCTTTAATGACCAAAGAGAAGATTTCTTTTTCGTGTCGCATAGGTTTGTTGTTTTTGAAAGTACTTTCTCTTTATTTACAAAGTTAATATTCATGAGGTCTATGGGAGCCCTTGTGGGTCAACCATTGCTAACTAAACAGTGAATGACCTTATTTTGAGGCGTATCTGGTAGAGCTGTGATCAGAAATGGGGCATCCTGGACCCAGGCCAAACCATGCTCCCTTTGGTATAGCTGTAGCTGGATATTTGTCTGGGTCTTGGTAATCAGATAGGGCATGATGGCAAGATCCCACGTGATAGCCCAACTCACTGAAGTAAAAGGAAAGGTCCCAAGTGTGGCAATGTTCTCTTAGCTGATTCCCCAAAATTCCACTAATTATATTACCCTTTGGACCACTACCCCACTACCTAAGCTGGGCCAAGGCCACCCTGAAGGAGCTTCCTATCCTTACATAACTCTTATTGTCTAAAGTTACAGTCTTTAAGCCAGATGATCATTATTTGATGGCTAACTTCTAATAGGAGAGATCAGAGAAATGTTGGAGGAAACACAGCCTTCATGAATAAATGCAACCCCTGCCTTGGATAGCTCAGTGATTGTGGTGTTAGAGACCCAGCAGTGACATTTTACGGTGTGCTGAGTCACTGGGAAAAATGGAACCCTAACAGGTTCCTAGAAAGAACTTGTATGTCTGAAGTCTTCCCAGGCTAGGACTATGATATTGTTTGATCAAGACCAGGGTAGCCCATAGCTCAAGTGCACCAATGGTCATGAACACCATTGCCAGTAGGGACCTAATCAGTCTGTGGTGATCCTAGTGGCCCTCTGTAACATGCTGATGAATCCTACAACCATATTTCTGACTGGAGGCACTGGGCTTTTACTGAGCAGTGTTCAAAATATTTTCAAATGATGCAAATAACTATAGACATCCTGCATTTTGTAGATTACTAGTATTTTTTAAACATAGTGATTTTATGCTACGTGTCAGTGTATTTCCTTTAGACAGAAATAACAATGTTAATAATAATACTAATCAGCTTGGTGTTCATATTTTTTTTGGTAATACTGAATTTTTTCATATTCCTTTACTAAAAATTATTTTTATATATTTTTATTATTTGCTTTCTTGGGAAATCAGATTCCTTTTTATAAAGGATATTTCTGAGCTACAATCTAGTCTCCATAATGGATCTATCTGGGAATGCCTTGAGGAAAATCACGGCTATAGGTATGTGAACTAGTTATGTTCCTTATAATTAATACAATTATTAATTCATACAGTCTGTAAGTCAAAGTCTTGTAAAATTGGTTAATACTGGTTTTCATTCAGCAAATATTTACTGAGTATCTACTGTGTGGCAGGCTGGGCTAGAGGCGGGGATACAGTAGTGAAAAAGGCAGACATGGCCCTTTAATCAGTCTGATGATGATCATAGGCCTAACCAGCACACACTCAACTGATGCGATGTAATTCCTGAGTCTGTTAAACTGCAGGGTAAATCATGGGCTGAACACTTACTTAGTGAAGTCTTATCTGAAAGAGCCAGGCAGTTTTCCCCTCATTATAACCCTTAGATCTGAGAAAAGAGAAGGGAAGGAGTGGGGAAGAGAGAGAGGAAAGGCAGAAGAATGTCAGTTGGGGTACTGATGCCACTCAAAGCACCACAAAATTGGCTGAGGCTGAAGGCAGAACCACAGCACCCAATCTTTTAAAGTAATTAAAGGAATTGCAGTGGCAATTCCTGTTTCTTGGATTACATGGTAATCCATAAAAATTTTAAAAATGAAATGTCTACTGGAAGCGCTACTAATACCACTAAGATAAATATCCACAATGCCTGCCCTCTTCTGAAAGAGTTTTCAGGTGAGGTGTAGGGCGTTTCCAGTCCGTGTTCACTTGGAGCAGGCACACACGGAGGGAGATCAGGAGATGCTGTGCCGGTCTAGGCAGACTGTTGGAAGTAGGTTTGCAGCAAGTGGCTGCAGTAGCAAAGTGCACCTCTGGGGTATGGAGGGCTGAAAAGAAGGAGAGGACACTGGTGGTCAGCAATACAAATGATACCCTGGGTCAGCAGGAAGGAAATACTGCATAACAAGGGATGAGACTATCAGGAATCAGGAGGATAAGTGGTCTCCTTCCTCTCCCTCCAACAGTCTCATTCATTTGCCTACTTGGGGAGGTATTTCCAACATCTGCTTCTCTGGGACTTCTGGGCAAGCTGGAGGATTAGACTTCCCAGCCCCCTTGAGGTGGAGTGTGATCATGTGACTTGCTCTGGCCAATGAAATGGAGAGGAAGTGAGCGCGTCACTTCCTGGAAGAAGCATGTAATGGCTGGGCTTATTGCCATCCAGTTCTGCTTTGCCCATCCAAATGTACCTACTGATGCAGAAGCACCAGAAATGGAAGCAATAAACTGTGTGAATGAAGAAAAAAGCAAAACCAAACCTAGCAAAAACCAAAACAAGAGTAATTTGGTTCCAGGAAAGCCATTAGATTTCTGGGTTGTCAGCCACTCTTGACACCATGCGCCATCTTCTTTCCCCCTTTCTGGCAGTCTGTCTCCTCCACACCTTGTTCTCGCCTCCTCCCCTCACCACCTAACTCTTCTTTCCTTTCCTCTCCCCTTTACTCTATGGTCCCACTGCTCTCCTAGCTGGAAATTATAAGTATAATGTTTTATATTCCTAATCTAAAACATGTATACATTTGCATTTTTTAAAAAAAAATAGTAAATTTTAAAAATTAAACATTTTATATTTCTCTCCTAAAGGAAAAAAAAAGTTCCAAGGTAAATGAAAACTCAGCTTCAACTTAAAAAAATGCATACTTTGAAACTTTACTATGTTATATAAACATACGGTACTAATATTGTAGATAAGCCTGCAATTGACTTTATTGTGTGGGTCAGTGGCTATCAGGAAAAACCAAAAGAAACATAAACCTCCCCCAAACACCATGCAACAGCCGCACAGCTCGGAGAAGGCTGAGCTCCCTCTGGAGTAGGTTCTGAACAGGAAATCACTACAAGTAGCCAGCGTCTCAGTTGTCATCAGGAATTTTGTTACGAAGGCTGGCGCAGCCCCACGTCCAGAAGCCTAGTCAAGGCTGCAGGACATCTCTAGCTAGCAAAAGAAGTCCTCATTTTCATGCACATTCATTCATGACATGAGGTCACCCCAGCACCCCAAAAAGTTGTTTCAAGTAATTAAAATCACTCCAGATGCAAAACAACAGAGAATGAAAGAGCAGAAAATGCAATGGTAGCCTGGCTAATCATGCTCACTTCAATATGCACAACAGATGGGTACTTACAAGCTCTAGTATTAAGAAAGAACATGCTCTACCGGGTAAACATGCCTTGAACTTTCAGGTCATTTTACAACACCACGGGGAGAACCACTGAGGGCTTTACACACAAAACCCTCTTCAGAGATGATGTGCAGGGAGAAGAGAAACATTTACATAAGGAAAGAAAGAACATGCAAAAGGAGTGAGAGTCTGGTGGGAAATTCTGAAGTTCACTTACTGCCTGCTTTTGCTCTTCTTCCTGGAGGTGTTGAAGATGAAAAAAAAGGCAGAGGAAAAAAGGAGAGAAATTAATGCCCATCACCACAAACACTGTGAAGAAATGACAGAAAAATCAGGCAAACCAGGCCAAGCCCATGGGTGCTAAGAGCAAAGTCCCCGTCCCCCAGGGGAGCATCAGAGGACAAAGCAAGCAGCAGGCCTCAGCCCAGCGAGTGATTCAATGCTAACTCTCAGAGCTAGAAGGAAAGAAGCTTAGAAACCACCCAGTCCAACACTCTTACTGAAGATGAAACAAGCCTAGAGGGCCTGACCTGCCTCAGGTCCCACAGCTATTTCGGGGAATCTGAAAGAGGAAGTTCAACCATGACTTGAAATTTGAATGATCATCCTGTTTCATTATTCACAATATTTACATGTGTTTAGGTACATTTATCTAGGCAAGTGGTTTTCAATGCATAGAACACAGACTAGCAGCATCGGCATCCCCTGGGAACTTGTCAGAGATGTAAGCTTTGTGCCACACCCTATCCCCACCAAACCGAAGCTCTAGGGGTGGGACACAGCAGCGCCTTCAATCTTGTCTCTGATTCTGGTGCATATTAAGTCTGAGACCCACTGCTCTAATAACTTCCCAACTAGCAATTCTACCAACAACAGGTTCTTTTCTTATTTGATCCCCTCTCCACACTTAACGTGTTGGAACTGTACCCACATCTACTTGCTTTCAGGCAGTGTCTTTTTTTTTTTTCAGTGAATCCCATACATACCCGCTTCCCCAATAAACTGGAAACTGCTTGAAGACCCTGAAAGGTCATTCAAAAAAGAATTCTTGACTTCAGTTTTTCATTAATTGAACACAGGTTTATTTAGTACCTCTTAGGCAGAAAGCACTAGAAACATAAATAAATGGTCTCTGTCTTACTTATTTATTTATCTATCCATCTGTTTATTTATTGAGATGGAGTTTTGCTCTTGTTGCCCAGGCTGGGGTGCAATGGTGCTATCTGGGCTCACTGCAACCTCCGCCTCCCGAGTTCAAGCGATTCTCCTGCCTCAGCCTCCCGAGTGGCTGGGATTATAGGCATGTGCCACCACACCTGGTTAATTTTGTATTTTTAGTAGAGCTAGGGTTTCACTTTGTTGGCCAGGCTGGTCCCAAACTCCTGACCTCAGGTGATCCACCCACCTTAGCCTCCCAAAGTGCTGGGATTACAGGCATGAGCCACCGCAGGCGGTTGGGCTGTCTTTTAGAACCTTACAATGACCGGTACATAGAGCAGGCACTTGCTGGTTATCAGCTGACTGCCCAAATGAATGTGCTACTAGATGCTGTAGGAAAAAGGATCAAGAGAACATTTTCAAGTTTCTCTCGCTTCAGTTCTTTGCTACTCATCTACCCTGTCTTTTCTGTTTTCTTCCTAATGATTTGCATACTCTTTTAATGGGACTCTCTCATTTCAACTTTCTGTGCCTTATATGGATCACTGTAGTCAGAAAACCTCAGCTGTTTAGCCTAGTATGTAAATCTAAAAGCTGTGGAATGGTGCTATTTAAATTGGACCAATCCATGCAGCCAGTCTTTACTGAACAAGTATGTGGAAGTCTTAGGAATGGGAAGTGCTCCTGCTCTCACACAGTATGTAGATCTGGGTGCAATGGTGAGAAAGACCTCAGTAAAGCAAAGGAATTACAAAAGGGAAAGGGTAAGTAAACAGAGAATCTAATTTTTATTACTGCAAGGGAGAGACAGAGTAGAAATAAATGGGCACTGAGAAATCTCTTAAGGAGACTCCAACTCGGCACAGGAAGGTGCTCTTCACAATCAAAGCCAGATGCTTTAGCCTGACCAAAGCTAAACTCACAGGAGCCCAGGCACAGAGCACTGAGCATTGGCTCTGGCAGCTTGGAGGAGTTACAGCACTTCTGCTTTTGCACCTGCTTTGCAGTTAAGAAGCAAGCTCTCTTCCTTGCCAGACTTTCCTTCGGGGCAGGACACTTTTCTTATATTCACGAGGCAAGGCAAACACTCATAGGACAGTTATCAAACAATTATACAATGTTTTCATTGCTGGCACTGTGTTGAAGTGGAAAGTGTGATGGTTGGGGAGGGATGGGGCAATCCTAATAGGCTGAAATTGTATCTGCGGTCAGAAGACCAGTATGTAATTTCTTAGAACTGTTTCTAAGACATCTCTCTACTTTCACAGTTTTCTCCAGGTTTGGTATTAGAGCAAACACTGCTGTGGTTCAATAGAATAGGGAAATTTCAGAAAGCAATGTTTCATACTTCGACATCTGGTGACTGCAATTTAAGTTTGTCAGGAAAGAAATCATAATTTGCAGTAGGCACAGATCAGGCTAGGATGGGGACAGTGGGCAGGGCAGTGCTTCCAGGACTTAGAGGCCTTCCATGTGCCCTAGTATTAGGAGAGAGTGGACTTTGGCAAAGTGTTGTTTAGGATGGTGTGGTATAATTTAAACTCACAAAACTTATTCAGATAAAGCCTTTTAGGCTCTGTCAACATGGTAAACAGGACAGATCCAAGGTCAGGGAACCTCTGTGTTGTCAACTAGTCAGCTGGGATCACTAAATATTGACTGATGACAAGGGATAGAGCCAATGTGATTTAAAAGGGGGTAATAATACCTTAATTGTAAAGTGTAAACTTAGAACTGCTTACATCACCTAAAAACATGTGAGTCTCTTCCACATGAATGAGGTCTGGCAAGGTGGTTAAAGCAATGGCATAGCCACTGTTGACATTTACATAAAAATTTACACTCAAACTAGATAAACATTTGCAAATGAGGTTGAAACTCAAGACTGTAGAATTCATCTGGTAAACGAGTTTCTTTTTCTTTTCTTCTTCTCTCTCCTTTCTTTTTGGAGACAGAGTCTCACTCTGTCACCCAGGCTGGAGTGTAATGGCGTGATCTCAGCTCACCATGACCCCCGCCTCCTGGGTTCAAGTGATTCTCCTGCCTCAGCCTCCTGAGTAGCTGGGATTACAGGCGCGCACCATCACACCTGGCTAATTTTTGTATTTTTAGTAGAGATGGGGTTTCACCATGCTGGCCAGGCTGGTCTTGAACTCCTGACCTCAGGTGATCCACCCGCCTCGGCTTCCCAAAGTGCTGGGATTACAAGCATGAGCCACTGTGCCCGGTCTGGTAAATGAGTTTCAAAAGCAATATCAGACAAATGAAAAATGAAGTAGAACATAGATTAGAAACACCAGCATATAAACACTTCTAGATTAAATACAAAGTTTTGAGGCTAGTAATTAATTAATACTCATTAATCAGGTGAAAAAGTATAAGGAAAAGATATGCAGAGAAACATGAAAGCCTGAGTGTCAGTCTACATTATGTCATTAAAAAGAATAAAGGGTGGTTCATGCCTGTAATCCCAGCACTTTGGGAGGTCGAGGTAGTTGGATCACCTGAGCTCAGGAGTTAGAGACCAGCCTGGCCAACATGGTGAAACCCCATCTCTACTAAAAATACTAAAATTAGCCAGTTGTGGTGGTAGGTGCCTGTAATTCCAACTATTCAGGAGGCTGAGGCAGGAGGCAGGAGACTCACTTGAATCCGGGAGGAGAGGTTGCAGCGAATCAAGGTTGCACCACTGCACCCCAGCCTTGGTGACAGGGTGAGACTCCATCTCAAACAAAAAAACAAAAAACAAAGAAGGAGGGTCCTTGATACACCTTGGTGACAGGGATTGAGTCTAGTCACCACGATATACCAAATACCTAATGTGACACTTAGGAACTCAATAGATTTTTTGTTAAATAAACAAAAAAATTAATTTTTACCCTGCCTTCTTCCAAAAAAAGGATTATTTTTGTTGAATGAATTAACAAACAATGATGTCACTTCTTATGAATGCTTCTTTAAATGATCATTTTCAGATAGAAGATAAAGTACATCGTAGTTTACCGAAGCAGTAGAATGAAAGAACTCTCTGTGGCATGGAAATTTACTATATGGACCATGTGGCTTGACTGTCCATTTGACTAACTGCTATTTTATGAGAGAATTAAATGCTTGCATACCAAAAATCAGTAAAAGTAGAACAAGCCTTTTACATCAAAATCAGAAGGTTTTTTTTTTTTTTTTGCTGTTTTTCCGACAGGGTCTCACTCTGTTGTCCAGGCTGGAGTGCAGTGGCTCAATCTCAGCTCACTGCAACCTCCACCTCCCAGGTTCAAGCGATTCTCCTGCCTCAGCCTCCTGAGTAGCTGCGATTACAGGCACAAGCCCCCATGCTTGGCTAATTTTGTATTTTTGGTAGAGATAGGGTTTCACCATGTTGTCCAGGCTGGTCTTAAACTCCTGACCTCAGGTGATCTGCCTACCTTGGCCTTTTAAAGTGCTGGGATTACAGGTGTGAGCCACTGTGCCTGGCCTAAAATTAAGATTCTAAAGGGTTCTTTTATGGATTGATGAATATGTATTTTTAACAGTAGGAAAATACTGAAATTTTAATAGAAGTCAATAATTCCTGTTTATGATCTTTTAGATATGCATATAGTACAAAAATTGAGACTATGTGGTAATTCTTTTAGGAAGCTGGACACTAAGGGCGTGAAATTTTCAACTGTGAATTCTAGTCAATGGATAAAAAGACAATATTCCTGGATTTGTGTTTACAAATCCTTCCTCCCAGTCTGAATAGCCCTAGCCTGTCAGATGGGTAAATGGTAAGGCATTTAAGAACCTGGCAGGGGATCTTACAGGGGCAGCGGTGTCCTGCTTATTTTACTGAAATTAAAGTTGCAAATATAAAGAAACTCAGGGTTTGGGAGTAGAGTTCCAGGCATTAGCTCATTCTGCTTAGCCCTTGAATACAAGTATCAGTGGTACACTAGACGGCCACAGCGGCATGCAAAGGGCTTGGAGTCAGTAGCTCTGGGGATTGCTAAGACAATCCAACTGAAAGGCACTGGCACAGGGTTACTCCGGGGAGAGGCACTTTGACTTCCCTTCAGTTTACATAAAGCTTTGCCTTTTACAAAAATCACATTGGGGCACCGGGAGCTTTCCAGCTATGCTTCAGTAATCTTTGAGAACATCTTTCTAAAAGGGAGATTTGACACAGGGAAGAGGTGAGTGGAACCCCCCCTTTTTTTTTTTGAGGCGGAGTCTTACTCTGTGACCCACGCTGGAGTGAAGTGGTACAATCTCCACTCACTGCAGCCTCTGCCTCCTGGGTTCAAGTGATTCTCCTGTCTCAGCCTCCTGAGTAGCTGGGATTACGGGCACATGTAACCACACCTGGCTAATTTTTGTATTTTTAGTAGAGACGGGGTTTTGCCATGTTAGCCAGGCTGGTCTTGAACTCCTGGCCTCAAGCAATCCACCTGCCTTGGCCTCCTGAAGTGCTGGGATGACAGGCGTGAGCCACTGTGACTGACCAGATACCGTATTATCTCCTGTCCCACAGGTGTACTAACTCCATGGCGGCAGGACTTTTAAAGTCACATGAGGTTACAGATGTTAAACAGGCCAAGTATGTTTAAGTACATCCCTGCTGTTTAGAGTGAGGGACTGGGTTGCTCAGATGGATATTTGACAACTATTAGAGGGATTTGGGCCAGGTTTTTGCATCAGATTTTCTTTAAGTAAGACCCATTTACACATAAAATATTTCTGAGGAAAAATCCTGCTAACAGGGTTGATGCAGAAACATGTCTATGCAAAACAACCCAAACACTCAGGGCCAAAGCTAGGGGGGAAAAACAACAGCAACAACAACAACCAACAATTCAGCTCATGACAAAAAACAGTAATTGTCTTGAGCAAGTCAAAAGCCAGTTTAAAACACAAATGCTACATTTATGCAAGTTGCTAATGCCCACTAGCTTCTTTACTAAGAGACTGACTTAGAATGGAGAAGTTGAAGAAAAGTCTCTGAACTGGTATTGTCCTGGGCTACCACTCCTGGGGTTAAGAGCCTTGTCACTTCAGGCCTGGAGGATGAAATTAGTCTCCTATTATCCTTTAGTTTTTCCCTGTTCTAACTTGTCCTGAGTATTTTCCTGAACTGTTGTTTTTAAACCTCCAATGACTCCCCTTTATCACAAGATTAAATTCACTCCTGTCATCTGGCTTTTGGGGCACTCCACACTTTGTGATTTTCTCTGGCTGTTAACTTGGTGTATACGACAAAATGCAGTGGGTTCTCAGCATCGCTGGGTGGGACCTAAGAAAGTAACAGCAGGAGCAAGTACCGTGGTATTGCTGCCTCGTAACCAGGTAGATGTTTCTGTTCAATGCCAATAAAACTGTCCAGGGGAGGCCATTCAAATGCCAAGCACGCTTTCCTTTGCTCTGGGGTATATGGGTTGTAATACAGCTTTCAACAAGAATAGATACACCTTGTGTGCCTGTAGTCCTAGCCACTCAGAAGGCTGAGGCAGAAGGATCCTTTGAACCCAGCTCAAGCAAGGTTACAGTGAGCTATAATCATGCCACAAGATAGACCTGACTTATTATGCAAACTGACTTATTATGCATGTATTAAGTTCCCCAATATCCCAAACCTAAGCTAATAAGCCATCTTATTCCTAATATAGTAAAGTTACTGATCAGAATGGTTTAATTAGGTTGGTTTGTGTGATGGTTATTTTTATGTATCAGCTTTACTGGATTAAAGGATAGTCAGATAGCTGGTAAAACATAATTTCTGGGTGTGTCTGTGAGGGTGTTTCCAAGAGATTGGCATTTGACTCATTAGACTGAGTAAAGATCCATCTTCACCAACATGGGCAGCATCATCCAATCCACTGAAGACTTGGATAGAAGAAAAATGCAGAGGAAGGGCTGACTTGCTAGAACATCATCTTCTATGCCCTCAGACATGTGAGCTCCCCAAGTTCTTGGGGCTGTGGTCTCTGGGACTTAAACCAGTGATCCAACATGACTCACCTCCCAACCCACCTCCCAGACTGGGAGTCACACCATCAGTGCCCCTGGTTCTCAGCCCTTCAGAGACAGACTGAATTACACCACCAGCTTTCTTGGCTCTCCCGGTTGCAGATGGCATTAACATGAGACTTCTTTACCTCCATGACTGTGTCAGCCAATTCCCATAATAAATCTCCTCTTATGTATCTTTATATATATTCTACTGGTTCCATTTTTCTGCAGAACCCTAATACAGGTTGCCTCTGTACTACTTTTTGAAATAGAACACTTAATATTTATTAAGTATTTAAGTAGAATATTTGAAAACTTGTCTTAACAGAAACTTTAAGGCCAGGAGCAATGGCTCATGCCTGTAATCCTAGCACTTTGGGAGGCCAAGGTGGGCAGATCACCTGAGGTCAGGAGTTTGAGACCAGCCTGGCCAACATGGTGAAACCCTCATCTCTACTAAAAATACAAAAAAATTAGCCAGGCATGGTGGCAGTCACCTGTAATCTCATTTACTTGGGAGCCTGAGGCAGGAGAATCACTTGAACCCCAGAGGTGGAGGTTGCAGTGAGCAGAGATCACGCCACTGCACTCTAGCCTGGGTGACAGAGCGAGACTCTATCTCAAAAAAAAAAAAAAATTTAAGTAATTGAGAAATATTATTCATTTGTACATAGCTAATATCCTATTTATAAATTCTCATTTATTCATAAAAGCAACTGCTCAAGAACGTTATCCTATTTCCAGTTACTAATTTTTTAAATAATCTGGCTCTGTACTAATTTAGATGACTTTCAGACTCAATTAGACTAAATTTATGGAAATTTATCTGAAAACTGATTCTAGGCTAAAGTCAGGCCTTTAGTCTCATCCTATTCTCACATCACAGGGAGGCAGCAGCTGAGGCTGCGGTGGGAGATGAATGACAAGAGCTGAGTGTGGGACAAGGGATCTTACCTTCAGCAACTTCATCAGCTCTTCTAGCTGGACCATCAGCTCCCGCCTGCTCTCCTGCAGGGCTGACATCCTCTGCTCCAGTTCATCCTTCCTTTGCCTGTCCAAAAGGAGAAGCCCATCAGATAAAGGGACCCTCAAAGATGGATCTCAGGCCAGGTGAAATGGATTTCAGACCTGATCCTGCTACTTACCAGTTATGAGACTCTGAGCAAGTCATTTAGCCTCTGATACCGCATAAAATTAGGTGATAATGTCTGTTTCACCTACTTTCCTGGACTGTTCTGGGAATAATAGGTAAGAGTGCTTGGGAAAGTGTACATTACCATATAAAGATATGATTCATATTATTAGTGTGAATGAATGATTTAAAAACTCTTTAGAAAGTCAATGCCTTTTGAAAAATATATATAACTAGCCCAAATTTAGATTAATAGTGGAAAAACTATATTAAACTGCTCAGAGAAAGCAGGTTCAGTAGTAAGTACTTTCAGCAATAGAGAGAGTCAAGAAGGGTGACAGGTCGGGATGGCTCCCTGTGTCTAAGAACAGTCACTTTTCCTTGAGGATAGATTTTATGCCATCTACTCTAGCTCAGTATGTCCAAAACCAGGCTTAAGACTTTTTTCCCTAAGTGGGTTTCTTTCCTAATTTCCCTCTGTCTGCTATTTTTCCTTCCAGGTGTCATGGCTCAAAAACTCAGTCCTCTTTGTTACTGTCTTCTGTATATCCTATATTCAATCAATAACCATATTCAGATCATTTTTCTTGAAAAATTTAAGTGCCTTTCTATTCCTGTTTCTCTCGCTTTATCTAAGCATTCCTTACCTCAAGCATGCAACAGTCTCCTAGTGTGATTAATCCTGCTTTCATCGTGTGTGTGTGTGTGTGTGTGTGTGTGTGTGTGAGAGAGAGAGAGAGAGAGAGAGAGACACACAGAGAGAGAGAGAGAGAGAGAGAGGGAGGGTCTCAATCTGTCACCCAGGCTGGAGTGCAGTGGCGCAATCTTGGCTCACTGCAACCTCTGCCCCCTGGATTCAAGTGATTCTCCCGCTTCAGCCTCCTGAGTAGCTGGGATTACAGGCATCTGCCACTATGCCCAGCTATTTTTTGTATTTTTAGTAGAGATGGGGTTTCATCATGTTGGCCAGGCTGGTCTTGAACTCCTGACCTCAAGTGATCCACCTGCCTCTGCCTCCCAAAGTGCTGGGATTACAGGCGTGAGCCACCACGTCTGGCTCTTTCATCTTTTATGGTGAGAAAAAAGCAGTGGAATGGAAATCAACAGCCTCAGAGTTTAGTATCAGCCCCAGTATTTACCAAATATGCAACATTAGAGAGTTGCTTAGCGTCAATTTTCTCTCCTCTAAAAGGGGACTAATAACATAACAGCAACAATATTCTGAGGATCATATAAGCTAATAAATATGAGAATGTTCTATGAACTTTAAACTGCTGCTCAAATCAAAGCTATGTTCATTTCATCATCCCATAATGATCTCAACAGAATCTCTAGCACCACTGACGCTTGCCCTGCACAATCTAGGCCCATGCTAACACAGTAGCCACCAGCCACATGGGACTACTGAGCATCTGAAACATGGCTAGTCTGCATTGAGATGCCCTGCAATTGTAACATACATACTGGAATTCAAAGACTTGGTACAGAAAAAACCAAAATACCTCAATCATGTTTTAATACTGATTACATGTTGAAAAGATAATATTTGGAAAATATCAGGTTAAGTAAAATATAGTGTTAAAATTAATGACACATTACTTTTTGGTTTCTCACTGAGGCTGTCAGAAAATTTTTAATGACATAGGTAGCCTCCGTTATATTTCTATCGGAAAGTGAGGCTCTAGTGCCCATTTACATTCCTATCCTTAGCACCTCACCTCCTATTTTATGCCCTTTGTGTCTGGACCTCCAGCTTATGGTTCACTTTTCCTAAGTGGGCTCCATCATTTTATAATTCACCTCTCTTCCAAATCTTATTCATTCCTTAACGTGTGACTCAGCATCACGGTCAGGAAGCTGCTCCCGGTCACTTCGGCAGGACCTGCTCGATTAAGCACTACAGTAATTAGTGCTCCTCAGTGGCACTTCATTTACTTTACTCACTACCACTCCTACCGTGATGCAAAATCCTTGACATCAGGGGATGGGCCTTACTCATCTTTGCATGTATTGAAACATTCAGAAAGTATCATGCATCCAGTATTGCCCAATCAACATCTACTGAACTTACCAAAATCATGATTTGAAACTCTCCAAGGATTTCCAGTGACCTAACAATTAAGACTCTCTAGAATCTGGTCTCAACTGCCTGGCTAATTGGATCTCCTATCACTGGCACTCTAAAGATTGATGTAATGAAGGACTGAAAATAATTCTTAGTTCCAAGACTCTTTCCCTTTCCTGAAATGTGCCATAATTATTTGCGGGAATCATGCTGAGCCCCAAGCCCACTTCCAACCTAGAATGTTTTGTCCTATACTCCATCCAAATCATTATCTGCCTTTCATGGTCTAGCTCAACTTCTATCATCTCCATGGGTCCAAATGCTTCCAGAGGAAAATTAGACCCACAAAGATATAGATACAATCTTATATAATGTAGGTATAATGGATAATATTATAAAATACAGGTATTAGATATAATATTAGATAATAATATAAAATATAGGTATTATATCTATATGTTACATATTATATATTATACAATATGTAACATATATTATATAATATATATTATATAACACAGGTATTAAATATGTAAAATGTCTTGTGTATATATACACATTATATTATATATATTTCCCTACGCAGATTTCTTATGCCTACTGTTTGTTGACAATATTATTTAACTACCAAATTATTTTATGTTTTGTTCCAAAGCTAGATTATAAGTTTTTAGGATGGCCTCATTGTTTTCTGGTTTTCATACACCTTAAATTTTCAGTGCAGTAGACCCTCGAGAAGAAGGATCTATTCAATGTTCTAGGAAGACTTCCTCCCCTGAACTCCTAAGCCTGGATGCACTATTCTTTATCTGTACTGTGTGTGACTAAACAATTACAGTGTAAGGTGAAAATGAATGAGCTATAGCTTCATGCAACAATATGGAAGGATCTTAATATGGTGGGGGTAGGGGGTGGAGAGGGAAGTCCTCTGAGACCACCCCCACAATATCAGTATAATATTTCTATTAAGTTTAGAAAACAAAAAGCAAAACTAAACAGTTTATTATATAGGATAATGACAATGCAATAATATTGTTTTAAAAACAAGGTAAGGATAAGCCAAATTCTGGATAGAGGGTCACTCAGCGGGGAAGGTGGAGACGAGGAAATGGGGTAAGGGAGGGGCACTTCTATGGATGACATTGTCTTAGTTATATAGGAGTTCTCAAATAGGATGTGGGCTCCTAAGTATTCATTTGACTATTACGCTTCATATCTTATACGTTTGTCACACGCATTTGCCATACATTTTACTGTAAGCAACATACCATTAAAAATAGTGATAAAGGAAGAAAAGACAACCCTGGTGGTCAAGACTCATAACCACTCCACCTATAGATGAAGCTCTCTACCTTGTTGTATTATACTAGCTGGGTACTGGCAGTCCCTGGTCTCATACATACTGATCAAAACCAGACGGATGTCAGATACCTACATGTGAATCCTGCCCTTTATGTGTCTTTTGATAAGCAAAAGTTCTTAATATTAATGCAAATATGAATTTACCAACTTCTTCTTTCACGGTAATTCTGAGAAATTACTTTCTATTCCAAAATCCTGAAGAAATTCTCCTACTTTTTTTCTAGAAGATTTAAAGTTCTGTATTCATGTCTAATCCATCGGGTGTTGGTTTCTGTAATTAGTGTGAGGTAGAAGGCCAATATGTTTTGTACACAGGCATAAACAACTGCTCCAGCACACTTTACAACAGTCCCTCCTTTCTTCAACGATAGAGAAACTGCTTTTGAGGTTAAATACTTTCTGATTTCTCAACCTTCAGACCCTCCTTGGTCTCAGATTACATTCCCGTTTCTTGCTATCCTATGTGACATCCCTGGACTCAGCCCTGCTACCACAGCTAAGAAATTTTTCAGATCCTTCCAGCTTAACTGAGCACTTTTAGCAATCCCAGTTTCAGCATCAGTTCGACTCAGGATGACAGGCCTTTTTGCTTGTCTAGATATAAAACCAGGCACTAGACAACAGGTGCATCTTATGCCAACAGCCTAGACTTACACTCTGCCCAAGTCAGCAGCATTTGTGCTCCCATCCTCCCTAGTACACCAGCTGTGCTAATACCCCAGACGTGCAGCAGTGAACCACAGAGCAACCAAAATCTCAGCCTAACTACCTTGAGAAACTCAAATAAGTGTTTAGGAGAATGAGAATTTCTATACATCTAATGATTTTTTTATCTGCACAGTTTAAATTCTTTATGATTCTACTATGACAATTTTTATTGATGATATAAATCTAAACAGTAGGATATCTACAGAAAACAATAAACTCCATTCTCTGGGAAAAGAAACAAGAGGCTATACAAAATCCCAGATGATAGAAAATTAAAAATCAACCTCAACAGAAAGAACCCACTGTTGGAAAATCTAGAGATCTGGTAAGAATCAAGTCACTACATGTAGTTTCCATAATATCTTAACTTACTGAAGAGCACGTGTGTGTGTGTGTGTGTGCGCACACACACACACACACCTCTAAGGCTCATAGGAAATAAGACCCTAATAATGGAAAAAAATCACTTCTGAGAAGTCTTCCCCATTCCCTCCAAGACAGCATCGAGCAGGGTGCTGACGCTGCTCTCTATTCCCATTCTCATCCTATGTCAGTTTCCTGATTCTTGAGACACTTTGTGTAGAAGTCTTGGTGCCAGGGTTTCATGTCTCAGAGGTGTGCATAGGAAGCATCCTTCTCCTTCAGCAGAGCCCTGCACTGACTGTAAAGTGCCAGGAGAATGTACTCAAAGGAAAGGCAAAGTGTCATTCCCGACAAGTGTCTCTAAAGTTAGACAAATTAGCAAGATAAGAAGAGGGACTGCAGCACAGTGGTCTTCTTAAAGCAATCACAGAAGTATAAACACTGCCCAGCTGGTCCCGGAGCTGGAAGACTGGTATTTACCAAGTTCTGTGATAATGACTGACATTCCTAGAGTGATTTCTAATGGAACCCAGACATCTGAAGCAGAAACAGAATGGGGAAACTCTTCAGTGGTTTGCTCTCACCAGGACTGTTTATACTGAACAGATTCTGCCTTTGGTTTCCTAAGGTCCCACTGTAGTAGATTACGTGTGGGAAGTGGTCGTGTATCTCTACTCACCTCAGCAGCCGCAGCTCTGCCAGCAGCGTGGGGTTCTGCTGCGCCTTCTCAGGGGTGGGCTGGGAGGCCTGCTCGTGTTCCAGGCGGAGACGCTGGATCTCCTGCAGGATCTCTCTAGAGAGGACGGGTGAACAGAAAGGGGCTGCACAGTGCTTCTCATCCATGCTCTTTCCCCGTTACAAGTTTTCAACTCTAGCAGTGCCTCCTCTGCCACTCTTGTTCTGATTGCTTCCAAATGGCCAAGATGTGAAATGGACACCTCAATACTACTTCACCTGACATTTCCTTAACAAAGAAATCCTTTGTGGTGGAAAAAGTCATAAAAATACTCTCCTCAAGGACCTGAAAAATCTCCATGAAAGGAAAATTACAGCCAGAATACTTTACTTATTCTGTTCCACTAAGTGAGGAGGAAAAGGGAACTCCTTGTAACCTCCTAATGCAGGTCCTGCGCCGACTTCCCTTAATGCTTCCCTGCCCCTTCCTTCTCCTGTTCCTGATGCCCTGATAGACAGCTGTGTTCCCTCTACCTATGCCTGTTACCTTAGGTCAGGTCTCCTTGTCCTGGCTTCCACCTTTCAGTGCATAATGGTATGCTGTCTGCTCTCTGTGCCTTTAAATGGCTTTTTAAAAAATAATTTTTAGACGGAGTTTTGCTCTTGTTGCCCAGGCTGGAGTGCAATAGCACAACCTCGGCTCACTGCAACCCTCACCTCCCAGATTCAAGTGATCTCCTGCCTCAGCCTCCTGAGTAGCTGAGATTACAGATGCACACCACGCCTGGCTACTTTTTTATATTTTTAGTAGAGATGGAGTTTCACCATATTGGCCAGGCTGGTCTTGAACTCCTGACCTCAAGTGATCCGCCTGCCTTGGCCTCCCAAAGTGCTGGGATTACAGGTATGAGCCACTGCACCTGGCCCCCCCTGCTTTTTTTTTAAACGAGAGACCAGACAGTCCTACATAGCATAACGGATCAGGACAAGATGACTACAGTAAAATGCTGCTGGGAAGCAGAGTGGAAAAGCAATTGTGAGAGGGGGTCACACAGACGGGTGGGAGGAGGCCCTGGGAAAAGCAGTCCCCTGAGGGAGGGTGAGCAGGGCTTTGGACTACCAGAATTAACAGTATGCAGAGAGACACGAATTAATGCCCAGGACATTCACTGGACTTGGGCTAGCCTAGGTTCACTGAGGCTAGATCTTCCCTGAGGGGTCAACAGCCACCGAGTATCCCAGGAAAATGAGAATCAGACATGCAGGTGATAATCCTGGACTTTAGAATGGGCTCAGCCTCTGTGTTCTTACCTGTTTTTGTTTTCCAGTTCTGCGATAAGCTGTCTTTGTTGTTTGTTGGCATCAAAGTTAAAGCTCAAGTCAGTGGGAGGACGAGTCTAAAATGGGGAGAAAGATTTTGGTTTTTTGGTTTTTTTTTTTCTGATCCAAATATACCCAGAGTTCTAGATTGACTGATTTTTAAAAAACAGATTTTTGAGGTATAATTTACATATCATAAATCCACAGATTTTAAGTGAACAATTCAAGGATTCTTAGTAAATTTAAACAGTTGTGCAACCAATTGCCACAGTCCAGTTTTAGAACATTTTCCATCACCACAAAACACTTCCTTATGCCAGTTTGTCACCAGTTGCCACTCCCACCCACAACCTCAGGCAGCCACAGGTCAGCTTTCTGTCTACAGCTTTGCCTTTTCTAGAAACTTCATATAAATGGAATCATGCAACACATAGTCTTTGGTTTCTGGCATCCACTTAGCATGATATTTTTGCGGTGAATTCATGTTGGTTCCATGAACTAGTAGTTCCTTTTTTTTTTGAGAGAACGTCTTGCACTATCACCCAGGCTGGTATGCAGTATGCAGTGGCATGATCATAGCTCACTGCGGTCTTCAACTCCTGGGCTCAAGCGATCCTTTCACCTTGGCCTCCTGAGTAGATGGGACTACAGGTACACGCCACCATGCCTGGCCTAGTAGTTCCTTCTTTTTTATTGCTGTGTAGTATTCTGTTGTTTCCAGCTTTTGGTTATTATAAATGAAGCTGCTATGAACTTTCATTTACAAGTATTTTTCCATGTATGTTTTCCCAGGACAAGATATTTTCCATTTCTCTTGGGTAAATACCTAGGAGTAAAATTCCTAAATTATATGATACCTATATTTAACATCTGAGGAACTCCCAAATTGCTTTCCAAAGTGACTGCACCATTTTATAACTGCATTAACAATGAATGAAATTTCCAAATTTCTCTACATCCTCACCAACACCTGTTGTTTTATTTACTTATATTTTTTCTTTTAACCATTCTAGTGGGTATGAAGTTCATAATAGTGAGTTTTTTGAAAATTAAGATATAATTTACGTACTATAAAATCCACTTTTAAAAAGTATACAATTAAGTAGGATTTCTTTTCTTTTCTTTTTTTTTTTTTTGAGACAGAGTCTTGCTCTGTTGCCCAGGCTGGAGTGTAGTAGTGTGATCTTGGTTCACTGCAACCTCTGCCTCCCGAGTTCAAGCAATTCTCCTGCCTCAGCCTCCCGAGCAGCTGTGACTACTGGTGCATGCCACCATGCTGGGCTATTTTTTTTGCTTTTTTAAAGTAGAGACAGGGTTTCACCATGTTGGCCAGGCTGGTCTCAAACTCCTGACCTCAAATGATCCACCCACCTCAGCCTTCCAAAGTCCTGGGGATTATAGGTGTGAGTCACCACGCTTGGACCAATTTAGTTATGAAACCATCACCACTATCTAATTCCAGAGTATTTTCACCACCCCAAAAAGAAACAGCATACCCTAAACAGTCTTTCCCCATTCCCTCTTCCCTTGCCCCTGACCTCCATTACCTGTCTCTATGGATTTGCCTACTTTGGATATTTCATCTAAATGGAACCATACAATATTGACCTTTTATGTCTATCTTCTTTCACTTAGAAATTTTTTTTTTTTTTTGTGAGATACAGTCTTACTTTGTCATCCAGGCTGCAGTGCAGTGGTGATATGGTTCTGGAGTGTAATAAAAATCCCAGAATCTTGGTAGTCAAAGCATTATGTTCATGCCACTAAAACTCAAAAGAAGTTCCCAGGTCCAATGAGCAACTTGGAGGTTGTAGCATCTAAAGCAAGAGATACCCAGAAAAAAACCTAAAGCTGAAGCCCTCTTAACTGACCTCAACTTAGTGCATGTAGCAGGCATCCCGGAACGGTCTCAACTTCCCGTGGGAAACAATGACTGCTGCCCCTGGCTCGTGGCTAGCAGCCCATACTCTAGTGCTCTCCATGTATTTTTGTTACAATCAGTTGAGTTGCGTGCTTAACAAGACGTGTTGTCTGTTCCTCACTGGAACGACTGCACTTGCAGTTATGTAATCTAATTAAATATCCCAAAAATCAATGAGATATGAGGACGAAAGAGGGTTTCTATTTCTAGGAAAACCAAGTTGAGTGAGTTGGAGACTCCATAGAGATGAGCTTCTAGAATAAATTGGTACTGACTTAGCTAAAGGTGAGACAGCTGTAAAGATTTGTAAAAATTATAAAGAGAAATTTTGTACTCTTGGATCATAAGAACTATTAAGTTCTCATTTCATTGTAAAGGACTGAAAAAGGAAGCTGAACTTGCATCATAGGAGAACATTTTATGCAAAGGAGACAACCTGGAGCTCCAGAGGACCTACACTCAATGAATAGGCTTGGCCCTACATCCAAATATACAGGCGGACATGCAGAGCAATGTGAAGGTACCATTTTATGGTTCCCTATTTTAACTTACTTAAAAATGTAGTCAGAATATTTTTAACATAGACAAAAGGAGAAAAAATAATGTATTTCCATATACTCAAACTAGGTTAAACAGTTATAAAGATTTTTGACACATTTGCTTCATCTATTCCATATTTTGTTTCTCTTTGAAGTATTTTGATGCAAATTCTTGAAAACAATTCACCCTACAGACGTCAGCAGACACCTCCAGAAATATTTTAAGCCAGCTTGTGATTGCTGACCAATCTCTGGTTCAGGAAACTGGACTTCTACTGGGCACCAAGTCATTCACCTACGGGCCTACCTCTCCCCTCTCAATTCAGAAGATCTTAAGGCAAACAAACAGGTTCCTGGATCCTGAATGATCCCTGATTCATGTGGAAGGACATCTCTGAAGCTTCAACTCAGTGATTTACTTCCCCAAACCTATTCCTTTCATACTTAAAATGAAACCAAGTGTGTAACAACCCGATTCTCCGAATGTTTTCTGGGGTCCAGAGCAAGCCTACATTTTCAGTGAACATCTTGAGGCAATCTGTATTGAACCAGGTTCACTGCAAAAATCCTGTTAGGACCATTTCCCAAAGAGCTCAGAACAACCCTAGGAATGGATTCCTGGGCTGTCCTACAATCTGTCAGTGGCAGCTAAAGTAGCATTACTCACAGATATCAGAGATAATCCACTCGCTTCTAGGCCCTTGGGTTGCTTTAATTCTTTCCTTTTTCTTTGTTCAACAATATAACAAGTATATTTTACTTAATGCAATTTTAAAATGTCACATTCTGAATATTATCCTGTACCAGTGGCTTCACTGTTGTTATATAACTTGTTTGGTAAAGTTATGCTGACAGCTTTACTGAGGCAGCGTCACATGATGCATTGATGTCCTCTGGTGCTGAAAGTGGGCATTAGCAACTCGGTGTTGTGTGTGAGGGCAGTGGAGAATCAGGGTGTATCTAATAAATTTCTTCATGGAGGTCTCATGTCATTAGGTAGAATTTGCTCTTTCAAGAAGTTTCTTGATCACCTCTGAAGTAATAATCAAAAAACTTAACAGGGTCTTAACAAAAACTTACAAACTGAAAAGTTGCAAACCTCTATCAAACTCAAAGCCAGGGCTGTTTTCAATCAGGGAAACATGAATCCTAAGGAAGAACCAGAAACATTTTTTTCAAAGACACTCAGGCATCATAGGCATTCCTAAGTTGTGAAATGAAAATACGGTTTCCTAGAAAATTAGGATAGAGATGGTATGGAATGTGCATTCTGGCTAAGAAGATAATGACATGTGCCTTTTCAACTTTTCCCTAAACTGATTGCTTTTTTCCTCTAAATTTTTCCGGACTAAACAGGTTTCAGAAATCAAGAGAACTTCAGGGTTCAGATTTTCAAACTTTTAATAAGTCCAGAGATTTGGCTTGTCTTTGGCAAGCTGACCTAAAGTCTCAACAACATCTAGTCTTTTCTAGTTCAAGGTGAGCTAATGAGGGCCCTACTAAAGGGCAAAACGTGGCCTGAAAGAGTAAAAGTACAGGTCCTTTGCCAAGAAGATAGAGTGCAGAGAGGAATCTGATAGATTAACAGAGAAAGTAAAATTATTGCCTTATGCCCTCTATCTAAAACTAACGGTTTTCAACTAAGAGTCACATCTAGCATGCCAGGTGACTCTGGCTTGTCCCTAGTCCGGAAACGTTTCTCTCGGTCAGTGGTTATCAAATTTCGCCACACACTCCAATCACCTAGAGGGATTTTTAAACCCTCAGTGCTCAGAGTGTATCATCCAAGAACAACTAAATCGGTTTCTGGAAGTATGCTTAGGCAGCAGCAGTTTCAAAAACTTCCTTCTCGGGTGATTTCAGTGTGCATCCAAGGTCGATGCACTGCTCTAAGCATCAGAGTTCTTGTTAAAACTGGCAAAACTGGGACACTGTAGAACATCTCCTGCACATTTTGGTTGTTTTCAGGAAAAAAACAATTTACTTAGCACCAAATACCAAAAACATGGGTTGTGTGTAAGTCAAAAACACTGGTGGTGTATATCTGAGTATGGAAAGTGATCCCAGAAGAGAATTCAAAGGGTACCACATTTACAAATAAAGTCACATAACCCTGTATTTGAATCTCAAGTCTGGCTGGAGAACCTTGGGAAAGACGATTTAACCTTTTTCTGCCTAGGTTTCCTTTTTTGTAAAATCACATTAGGAATCATCTATCCTCCAGAGTTGCTCTTAGAACCAGAGGTAATATTTCTAAAATATCCAGCATAGGATTATGAATACAGATGGCTCTCAAAATGGTAGCTGTTATTTCTCATTCTGTTATTAGGTCAAAGCAGTTAGGCAGGGTAACATCTGGAGGAAAAAGACTTTTCAGTGCCACAGATGTATAAGCTGAATGAGTTTAGGAGACAAAGGTGAGGGATCATCTAAAAATGAAACAGTAATCAAAGACCTAACAAGGAATGCAACTGTTAGGTTGGGTGGATGGATGCATTAAGGCCAGAGCAACGAAAGGCAAAAAAGTTAGGGATCAGAGGACCATATTATAAAAGTTAAAGCTCTGTATCTGAGAATGAAGGTTCCAGAGTAGGATCAATTTACTATTATATGAGAA